CAGTTATTTTTGCCAGTTGTTTTATTTTAAGAAAATGTTGAATCAAACAGTCATAGGAAGGCTGTGAACAAATACGAAGCTCCAGACTGGTCTGAAAGACTGCTTGTCATCTGCAGTTCTCCAGCATTCGGTATGCCTTTCCCATTTCCTCAGGGAAAGCATGTCTTGAGAGGCCATTTCATAAGTAAAGCTCCCTGTCTCCTGCAGTAATAACTGAAGATCTGGGAAGCCAACTCCTGCTTTGAGGTGGTGGTTGGACTAAATGACCTCCTGAATTATCCTGTGGTTCTGTGAAGTACTTCATGAGGAAAGGAGTTGACTGAACCTCTTGGAAACATATAAGCACACAAAAGCCAGTAGTCTTACTGTCCTGTAGGTATTTTTTCCTACCTGAAATTCCTTCAACTCCTAGTAGAGTTAACTATGAAATATGTTCTCAGCGCAAGAATCAGGAATCTTGCATGCACTTTTCTTAATGGGGTCTCTCTCCTATAGGAAGTTGGACGTACCGAGTTTGGTGCCTACTAGAGCGGAGATCAAACTGAAAACAGAGGGGCAATTGTTTTTCAGTCTGCAGGATGAGATATGCACTGATGGTCATGCTGTCCTTGAGTAGAAGAAGGGCTTCCCTGGTGTACCTGAAGAGCAGGCACACAAAGATCTAAGGGTGGAATAGGACTTCATAAGAAATGCTCATTACGTTTGTCTGATGGCAAAGGATGACTCGTGTCAAGGGAAATGCCTCTCTGCAACGTGATGATTTGTTGCCTCTCTGTAACTAGGCTACTGCAGCTTCAGCGATGAATTGCTCCACGGTTGCCTAAGGATCACCATGGTTGTTGGATGAAAGGCATTTTAGAGTTGGCAAATCCCTTTGAAGGAAAATTTTCTGTGCCTTAAGAACTTGAGATTTCACGTAGATCTCTTTTACTCAGCTCTTCTGCAAATCTAATTAGCCTCTCCCACCCCTTCCAGAAGTGGTCAGCGTGGAAGAGTTCATAAAGTACCATCTACCCTTCACGTTGCAGCAACTTGAGATGCAGCAAAGCGTTCTCTGAAAGCTGTAGCTGTAACAATGGACCTTTGTTTGCTCGGCCCTTACAAGAATTTTCTTCTTGCCACAAGGCACCACACAGTAGTGCAAAGGATTAGGTCATTTCCTTCCCTCCTCCTCTTCCTGCAAGATTATTTGATTAGCATTTCTATTGTATACCCTAATTAGCATGTTCTTGGCTTCAGGCTACTTTCCTCCCCATAATCTCCTTAAAACACTGTACTGTAATTTTATTAACTGTATAACATGGGAACTCCTTGCGTAGAGATTACATGTGACATAACGCAATGAGAGATTAATAGCGCTGGCAAGTCAATAATCTCTCCTCCTTTCTTCTTCCCCCATGCACCTGGGGATAGACTTCTGGGAACCCTAACAGCATTTACACTCTCCAACACATGAAATACTTGTCTTTTTTAGGTATCATGGGCTTCAATCAGAGTCCAGCCACTGACTTTGTGGGAAACAGAGTTAAGGTGGTGTATAGTGCATGTTCAGACTTCATTATTGAATGTACAAATATACTTCGCCTTGGGACCATTACAGATCCTATTTTTCCATGTTTTTTCTCCCTTTTCTCAGTGTTTTCTTTGGTCTTCTTTCCTCTGTACGCTGTGTGTGCCAATTTCAAGCACTTATCCTGTGTGGGGTTTTTATTCCACTCCCTGCCTGTTTTGTTAAATAAAATGATCAACAGAGACATGTTTAAAATGACCATCTGGAAATTTAGCAGTAATATACTGGTCAAGTTAAGCCTAGGATGAAGAGTGTGCCACTCATGCTGCTTGTCCGTCTGCACGCTAGGGGACATAGGATTCCCCTTTGCTTGTATCTGCAAGGCTGTCTTTTTAACCGATACAGCTAGAAATGCATTCCTCTTCAAAGCTCATTTTGAATGTCATGAGAGATCATGTAATTGTATCAAACTGTACAGCATCTGCTCATGAGTCATATAGAAGAACATGACGATACAGCCCTTTATTTCTTTAACAACTTAAGGAAAAGAACCTCCCCTGCAGTTAAGCATCGCTTCATGAAATTAGCAGTGATATCTAGGGCTACATTCTTTCAGCCTGGCATGGTTGGCAGCATCTCTGCCTAGGGAAGGTCAGATAGCTTGCCTAGCAACAGGGTGCTTGAGGCTTTTGCTTCCAGTCCTCAAGGCAGAGCGTGGTTCTTGTGTGGGGTGGGAATCATTAAACCCTTCTCTTAATAAGAGTAAGGGACAATGTCGACACAAGAAAAGATGAGTAGAGCATGGCTGTGACTAAACACGGACAGGGAAACCAAGTGTTTCAAACTCTGTAGGGTGGGGTTCAGAGGCAGCCATGTAGCAGTGCATCTAGGGGCAAAATAAACCCCAAAATGCCCTGCTTTAAGGTGGAGCGTGATTAGCTATGAAAAGGGGATTATGTAGTGCATTTGCCTGATAGCAGAAGACTGCATTCCAGAATACTGTGGGTCAGTAATATGAAGGTTAGTGGGATGTAGAGATAAGAATTGTTATCTGTGGCAAGCTGGGTTGGGCAGCAGAAGGCATATCCAACTGCATTTGCTCACTCTGTTACTTTTTATGTCTCTGCAGCATAAAGTAATCCACAGGTTTATTAACCTGGACTCTGACAGTGGCATCTGTAAATGAGAAAATAAAGGAGCTCTAGAAGCAAACCAGCCCCATGTTCTGCTTTTCAAACTGAACTCTTTTGAAATAGTGCAACTCAAGTGTTACAGCTTGTGTGAGAAAAGTAATGCAACCTGGAAGCGGTCATACCAATGTAACTTATCACTGCACTTAAATACCTGAATACAGAGCACCTTTTGTACTCTTGTTGCCATATCTGTGTGTTAAGTGATACTAATACGGTCCTGATGGTGGTGTTTAAAAGGAAAAAAAAAAAAACAACAAAAAACAAACAACAAACCCAACAAACGAAAACCCAAACCTCCCTTGGCCCTGATTAAAAAGTACTGAAGCAGCCAACCTTGTGTAGGCCAGGATGAAGTATAAAATACTTTAAGGTGGTGGGGGGGAGGTGGGATTGGGCGACTCTTCCACCACAGTGAACAGTTCTGGTTTCAGGTTCTGCTAGTTACCAGTGGAAAAGCTAGGTTCATGTGCCGGTAGAGTGAGGCCATTGATTTTTGGCAGGGAGGAAGGCTGAACTTTAATCTCAAGATGTGGCTTGATGAGTCTCTGGCTTTACTGATGAGATTGATTCAGAAAGTTCCTATCCCCTCACTTACATTGGTATCGTGGTTTTACAGAATAAACCCCCAAACAGGTTAGCAAAATTATTTGGGTTAACATAGTTGAGGTTTGTGTGTTGTGTTTTGATTTTTTCCCTAAGCTCCTTACTGGTTACTAATTACTAATCTGACAGCTGTGATAATGGCCATACCATCTCCAATCAGTATTCAGTAGCTGGCCATTCTTGGTGGCCAGAAGAAGAGTGGGAATGAGGGAGCACCTGTACATCAATGTTTCTCCAAGCATTTCTCAGCATTAAGCAGTTGTGACTCAATTGCTTCTGTAGAGCAAAATGGTGTCTTTGTGTTTAGTAATCTATGATAAGAGGGGGGAAAAAAGTGTATTTGAGCCTCTGTACAGTTTTATTATCCAGAATATCTTACAGCAAGGTGTTCTGCAGTTGAATTTTTCAGGTAGGTCACAAGATCCTGTAACAGGACAGCCTTACAGTATTACTTGGGGGAAGGTTGGCTGTGGAGTACAGCTCAAGGAGAGACACAACAGGTATGCATTCACCTTGTTCTCAGCAGTGAAGTAGACTTATGTGGAGTTGCAATTTATGCTGTGTTACAGCATTATGAACAAAAAGCTCATTTGACAGTGCTTAGCTTTGAGTGCTGCTGAGTAATATGCCTGCCCTTCCCACCTTCGGTTCTACTGGTACAACTGCACAGCCGTACAGTGAGCTGAACTGGGAAATAGATCCAGCTGAAAAACAACTGAGCTACTAAACCAGCTTGTAAAGACATGGTCACATCAGGAAAATCAGTCCATAAAGTTGTGCTTGCAACACACAAGCTTTGCTGGCAAGCTGAGGAAGGAGCAGCAGAAATCAGATCAATAGTCATCTGTAGAATTTGGAGCTGTCAAATGTCAGCCCGAGTACGCATCGCTTGAGCCAGGGTAACCATGCATACCTTGGCCCACTACAACTGTGATGTAAAACGTGATACAAAGGTTGAGCTACAGCATCAGATCATGCTTGCAGCAGCCTCAGTATTTGCATGATCGATGCCAAGAGGCAGTAACTTGGAAGCTGTGGTAACCTGATCACCATTTTATGGCTCAGATATTTAAATTATCCCACCCACTGTCTTGATGCAGTGATTTCGATGTTAGTGGCATAAGAACTGAGCTCAGAACCCAGTCTGGCACATGCAGGTTTGCCTTTCTAAACACGCATCCTACAGGAATGAGCTGTTATAGCATTGTTGGCCATGGCAGTCCAGTACACACAGGTGGTACCTGCAGGTGTGTCATATGTCCAATTCTATAGCATTAGTGAAAACAGGGGTAGCAATGCCTGAAGAGTTTCTGCTGGTTTAATGCTCACTGTATTAAGAAATCACTTTTTGTGTGGGAGGTGAGGAAAGCTAGCTGGGCTAATAAGTGATAATTTAAAAAAAAAAAAAAAAAGAAAGAAAGAAGGTATAGCATGCATGGGTACAGTTATGTAAGAGAAGCTGAGAAGGAAATAGATCGGCATTTCTCCAAGAACCTCATCCATAGAGCAGCTGGGGAATTGGGCTGCAGGATCATTCTCAACACACCCTCTACTTCCTTTTTTCCTTTTTGGGGCCAGAGATGGATGAATTTATGGAGCAGCAAGCAGGATGCAGGCTCTGACACCAGCCAATGGTGCGTGGCGCGGTGGTGTTTACCTAGCTTACGCAAGGCAGAGCCAGCCCCTCTTTAGTCAGAATGCGCTACCCACGGCTTAAGTAAAAGCACACAGAGCAGAGGCACTCAGTCTGGCAGTTGCTGGGATTTGAAGAAGTTGGTGGATTTCGTCTGGCTTTAAACGAGATTGAAGGGGTGTCTTTTCTTCTCCACTGTGTAGAAATACTGAAAGGACAAAAAGATACTGGTAAGTGCTCTGCATGCTGTGGCTTTTCCCTTTTAGCATTGTATTGTTTTCAGTCTCTTTTCTAAAAGCCTCGGTTGCCTTGTTTTTCAGTGAGAAGTTGAAAGATAGTTCAGTGATGTGGTCGAAAGGCAATCTGAGAACAGGCAGTGTGTTTGCGGGCTGCCCTTCCACCTAAAATAGGAAGGGACATTCAAAGCGTAATAAATCCTTCTTGTTCATAAGAAGTGTTAGTTGCTTCTCATTTTTAGGATGCAGAGCAAGATACCTTGAAACTGTCATCGTTACCTAACAAAATCATACCAAGGGAAATTTCTCATAGAGCTGTTAAATATTTGTGTTGTCTAAACCAAAAGAAAAGGCTTTAAATGTAATTGTAACTCCCATTTTTTGCAAGATGATATAGTATGCTATGTGAGAAGGCTTTAGTGTAATACAGAAACCTATTTAGCTGATACTTTGGTACATAAACTGCCTCATCAGGAAGTCAGAGGCTCATAAAAAGCAAAACGGTCATGTTCACATCTGTAGAACAAGAAGTCGTGGTTTTGTGCAAGCACAAGGTCCTCCACTGTCTATTCTAGTTCAGGTGCATCAGACAGTACATCTCCCTGGGCTCAGTCATCAAAGCGTAAAAAGCTCCATCTATTTGTGTAACAGCCCTTTTAAAAGTAAGATGTCTGTGTTTTGGTATAAACTCTTAATCTGTATGTGGAAGTTGTGCTTCTGTCACCACTTGCAATGAAAGGCGGGACTGTGTAATTTGTCTGAAGGCAGTTAAGAGGATAATTTTAAAGGATCCTGACTGTAACGTTCTCTGTATGAGAATCGTACTTTTGCCATGTTGTACCAGTATTGTACAAAGTTTTTTACTTTCCCTCTTGTACTTTTGCAGGGTGCTCCCTGAAGATACAAATAGGTAGTGCTCTGTCTAAGGATCACCTGTTGGCATGCCTCTGTCATACTGTTTTATGGCTTCATACATTGCAGATTACATAAAGAATCTTCATTTGATAATCTGAGCATTAAATCAAAACTATCCCCTTTTAACTAAACATACAGAGATTGTAGTAACAGCTGAAGTGCAAGTACAGTGAAAAGCTCATATAGAAAGCTGAAAATTAATCATGTTAAAAGCAGCTTGCATGAATAACTTTCACAGGTAGCTCAGCTGATTGAGCAAGTACTACCTGTAGCATTTGGCCCTCACGCTGCAGGGGCGGTCAGCAGAGGAGCTTTGCCTCGTGCAAGGTTGTGTGCTTCGTCACTGGTGTATCCGAAAGCTGACGTGGAGGACGTACGTGGTAAGGGGGTGTAGACTGCATGTAAATGTGGCAGATTAACTGGTGAAGAACTTTCTCAGCTAATTAAGGTTATAGATAATATTGCAGTGACAGCTTTAAAATAGACACATTGTGCTAAAAGACAAATGTTTTCAGCTTCCCACACACAGTCTGAATTACATCATTTATAACCTGTAGGAGGCTATCGTGGTTTCCTCAGGGGAGGATCAGCTGTTACTTTTTGTAACTGAAAAAAATGCTGGAGATTTTTTTTCCCAGGGTAATATTTTCAGAATTGATTTTTGTCAGTCTGTCAGAGTGGATCGTTAGCATAAATCTTCCAGGTTTAATATACCCAGCCATGTTCTCATCCCATCAATGACAGTTCAGAATAACAGGACTGAAGTTAGTTAGTTACCTCTGTTTGAAATCAGGCCCCTGTGCTTAGATGGTTTTTTCTGTCTTCTGAACAGGAATGCTATTTTTGAGTACTGTCATAAAGTACAGATTTGCATATAGTGCCTATAATAGAAGTCTTGTTTTAAAACACTTGCCTTGTTCATTGAACAAGGATGTTTGTCCTCACAGCTCTGTTCCTGGCTTTCCTGAAATTGCTGGGAACTGCTCAGACTTGCCCCTGAGGCTGAAACAGAACTTGAAGCAGGACACTGGATACCAACCGGACTATAGCTGCTGTTTCTTAGACTGGAAAAAGTTAGCTATAGCCTTGGTGCAAAGGAGTAGGTTTGTTCATGTGGATCAAGTTAATACCCCTTTGAAAGGGTCTACAGGCAACATGTTGGTTTTTTGTTTGTTTTGGTGCTGTGACTCTTGCATGACTGGTTTCTAGGATGACCAACCTACTAATGTCAGATGTCTGTGGTAAAAAGATGCTTTCATACTGTTTATGAGAATGACAAGCCCCTCTATGGAGATTTTACAGATGTTCTCAAGGCACAGCAGCAGATAGTTGCCTGCATTGTTTTATGCTTAGTATCTTGTGCAGGAGAGAGACTGCTTGCTCATTTCAGACCTTGGCCTTGTTGTCTTATTTTCAGTGAATTCATAAGACACTCTTGTATCTATAGTGGATGACTAAGCTTATTCAGAGGTTATAAACGAAAAGGCAAACAGTATAGACTAAGGAAAGAATAAGCCATACAAATGCAAAAGGCTGCACTGATTTTCCACACTCCCAAGGCTGCTTCTTCATTTTGGTGCTGAAAAGCTCCCTTTTCTAGGAGGGAGAAAATTTAAATTATCCTACCTTAGACAGGTGAAGTAGGGCTACTGATCTAAAGTGACAATGCAATTTGAATACTGAACAGCTGCATCGCTGTACCTTTCCTGTGCATCTGTAGTGAAAGATGGAAGCTATAGACAGAATCTGTCTAATTTCAAAAGTGGCATATAAA